TGCTTTGGCAACATTGTTTAATTTAACTTTCATGCCAATAAAGCCCCTTTGAATTTGAATTTGAGAGAGAGAGAGAGAGAGAGAGAGAGAGAGAGAGAGAGAGAGAGAGAGAGAGAGAGAGAGAGAGAGAGAGAGAGAGAGAGAGAGAGAGAAAAAAGAAAACACTTTATAGGCAATAGCTTTGTGATATCAAAGAAAGTAGGGCAAGTGGAGGTCAGGATTCTTGAAAATCCCTTTTTGTCTGCATAATGTGACCTGGTCGGCTCTGTTGCTTTGTCAAAAATAAATTGGCCAGGCTTTGGAAGAGGTCACACCGAGTCAATTGCATTATCCTAGGCAGCCATAAACGTGTGAGGAACTAGTTGCCCCACCTTTAAAAAATAGCTATTTTCCACAGTGAAATGGAAAATTATATATTTTTGAAACTTCTGCAAATCTTTGTCCTTGCCTCCCTCCCGCAGCCGCTGCTGGACGCCCTGGCCGACCTGCCGGAGTGGTACGGTGTCAAAGCCATGCAGGCGAACTGGATTGGAGAGTGCACCGGCTGCTACTTCGATTTCAAACTCAAGGTGAATCTCGGCTCCTTTCCCCCCTTCCTCACTTTTTATTCATTCATCATTCTTGCATTCATCATTCTTGCTTCCTATTTAATCTCTCAACCTTTTTCTACCAAGTGTTTCCTTGTTTTCTCCTCCTTCCCAGCCACTGTTTTTCATCTCTTTCTCCCCGAGCACTGATTGCTTGCTTTTATTTTGGAAACCTGTGTTTATGTTACCAAAATTCAGTTGCCAAAACATACAAATCTACTCTTTGTTTATCATGGTCATCAGGTTCATTGATATGCAAGTGGAAATCAACCGAAACAAGTCTGATGATTCAAAAGTATTATTATCCTGTTCACCTGGAGAAAGATTCAGTCCTTTAATTTCATAAATTGTTGATAGGAAAGCTTATAGACTGTGTTTTTGTGTCCTTCTGTATGTATATGGGAGTGGATTTCAGTTGCAGAATGAATAACTAAAGTTAGAACCAGGAGTGGTTACGTTAATTGAATGGCTGCTTGACTTGTATTACATCATTTTAAATTGTCAAAGGAACCCTTCACTCATTATCTCCCCAGGGGGCTGACAATATGTATTACTATCTTTTCTACAACATGACTTATACATGGAACCCCTATCATATGTGTGCCATCTATAAATAATTATAGGATTAAGGACTTTATAGTTCATTATTTATCAAAGATCTACTAACGGCACATTTGCATAACATCTCAAACCCAAGATTCTAGGTAATAGATTGGGACTCCAGCCGATAATTTATCAGATCATTTGTTAATCACTGTACTGTAAAAAAACTCTTCTCAAGGTACTTGTAGCAACCTTAATTGGTCTAAGCCTACAGACAATAGCCATGCTAGTAGCTCTGTGCGTCAAGGTTATTAATGTGTGTTTATTGTGTAATTGATTGCCATGCTCTCCAAAGACAATATTTAATAAACAGGAGAACCTTTCAGTGCTATGGTGAACACAATTTCTACATACAACTGTAACACAATGCATTTTAGCTTACCCTGTAATGTGTTTTAAAGTCATCATATTTTAGAATACTTGCTTCTCGTCTTCTCCCCCAGGTGAACGGGGAGGACACGGGGGAGACCCTATCTGCCTACAGCTCCTCTCCAGAGTCTGTGTTCGGAGCAGCCTACCTTTCCGTCCTGCCCTCCCACAGACTGCTGCACGGTAGCAGCGCAGTCCGCTCGGCCCTTGAGAAATCCTTCCAGCCAGGCAGAGGTGAGCTCTTCCGCACTGACTCTACTCTGTGATTGGGCTTGTCAAGGATTTCCTGTTTTAGGTGGGGGGGGAAGATGAATGTTTTCCTTATGGGGGGTTCTTAATTGAGCAGTGCCTGATAACAGAAATGGTGCTGCTCTTCATCAATCCTCAGATAAAGAAGGAAGGACTTACACTTTTCTGGACATTTCATCACAGATGTGTACTGTATTTGTCTCCCTATATTCCATATCATCATTTGAGACTTTGTTAATGTGAATATGTTTATTTAAATATCATGGTATAATGAGCTTCCAGGTGAAGCAGCACTGCCTCCCTCACACCTCCATCTGCTCTCCAGACTCCCTTACAGAAGTCACCGCTCACAACCTGTTCACCGGCCACGAGGTTCCCCTGGTCATCTCACACAAAGAGGTGTTTGATGCCTATCTGGATACCGTGATCGGTGAGTTACCGGTGTTTATCTGTGTGGGCGGGTTCAATAATCATCTAGAAATCGTATCTGGTCAATAAAAACAGTAATCTTTATCCAACCCTGAGCTGATATTAAAGCAAAAAGATTCAGCCTTAAAACACCTAGGATTTTGAAGATTGATCCTTTTGTTATACGTCTTTTTCATGCAGTATTTTCAAGTTCATAATGATGTTAAGCCAGTGGGTGTTTGTCTCACAGAGTGGCAGTGGAGCCCAAGAGATTGTAATGATTAGTCCAGCACAGCATGCTCACCTCTCAAGAGATTTGTTGATGTGTGTGGGTCTGTGTTTTTTCTGTGTTACATGTGTATGCTGCATCTGTGTCTGACAGGTATCCCAGACTGCAGTGAGGAGGATCTTTCTGTGGCCAGAGCTCTGAACCTGAGCTGGACGACAGTGCTGAAAAGTGACGAAGAGGGGAACCAAACTCTGATCAACTCTGATGAGGTCTGTTGATGGTGACCAGAACACTTATCAAATACAAATGACTATTTTATGTAACATTCAACATTAAAATATCTAAATATACGTATGTAAGGAATATATATGTAATTACTTTATCTCAAAAATGTCTAACAACTTTCAAACTTAGAGAAATCGATCACTTTAATCAAGTTACCAATATGTCGCCTTTGGTCTGCTATAATGGCGTCATGTTTCTGTGTTGTTGCATGTCAGAAGATGGTATATTTGGCTTTTGATACTGTTTTTCCTCACTTAAAGAAAATACACCTCTCAGATCTTGTGAGTTTTAACCATATATTTGAACTGGGAAAAGGAATTTGGTCATTGGTAAAAATCACACGACAAACATATATAAATAAAATAAAATGTTAAATGCTCTATTTCCTCTTCTTGGTGTAGTTCTCAGGACTCTCTAGAGAGCAAGCATTTGACTCCATTACCCAGAAGGCCAGAGAGCAGAAGACGGGCGGACACCTCACCAGCTCCAAGCTACGGGACTGGTTGATATCAAGGCAGCGATACTGGGGCACACCCATCCCCGTGGTGCATTGTGGATCTTGTGGTCCAGTTGCTGTTCCTGAGGAGGAGTTACCTGTTACGTTACCAAAGCTGCCGTCTCTCAAAGGAAAGGGCGCTTCACCGCTGGAGGAAGCTCACGACTGGGTCAACTGCAAGTGTCCCAGGTGAGAACACTGACATGTTTTCTTTAAAAGTTTTATTGGAACATTACACACAAAGGTATTTTAATGCTTTTTCCATACAGTCCTGTTTGGTGTTATCTTAAACATAATACATCCTGAGAAAAAACTCTGTGTTATTCCTTTAATTACTATACAAAAAAGGAATATTTAGCCGTTTTATTTGCATTTTTGAAGTAGATAATTTTGATTGGGAATTATAAAAAGACTCTCAATAATCCCTAATTACATGTCATCCATGCACAAGGGAGTCAAGCCTTTAGTGATTTCAATCCAATCAATGTATTTCAATTCTATAATCATAACTTTGAATATTATTGTTACACGCTTGTGACATTTGTGGCCGAAGGTATTGTGGTTTCGGGGTTTTACATTCTTCCATCCCGTTGTCATGATTGTCATATCTCTGTGAATCTCTTCACATTTGGCACAAACGTCCATAATATTAACTCAAGGGTGAATAGATAACATTGTGCTGGTCAAATCCACTCATTAAGCACGTTTTTGGGAAACTCAATAATTCATCTGCTGATTATTACAATTTCACATTAATGTCTTGAGCTTTCCTTTGCAAATCCGCATTATGTGAACTTGTTCGGCAGGAGTTTGAATGTAACATTCCTTTATATGTTAATGTCCCACACTCCAGCTCTAAATAACCTCAGATTTATAATAACCATTTCAACTCTAACCATTTGCATAGTAAGAAAGCATCCCGCTTAAGTGCTCTTGAGGGTCACTGAGTCACCGACACCTCCAGTAGCACTGTAATCATCGGCGGATAAGTAGCTCTATTAAGCCACTGTAGCAGAAATGGAAAACGAAGATGTTTGTTTTACTGTTTGCACGACATTAGCGATTTGGGAAATGATCCTGTCCATTATGGTGTTTGTGGAGTGGGAATTTAATTATGTGTAAACCCTCTCCTGCGTACTTCCTGTAGTTCCTCAGGAGACCAGCACTGACTAAACGAGCCCGCTGTCAGCGCAGGCTGAGAAGATTGACAGCTTCACAAGAACACAGAGCATTGAGAGCGAGCCTATGATTGTGTGATTAATACTTTTGCTCTGATGGGGTTGTGTAATGAGCAGCATCTGTGACAGGAGCAGCATGAGATGATGATGATGGAGGTTACATAAGCCTGCGGTGCCTCGTGAGACGCACACAAAACTGTACATTTACACACACACACACACACACACACAAAACCGCCTTTTGGTACAGAGGCCTTATTAGACACACACACCTACACGCACGTGCACACACAGCAAGCCACCTGAGTGACTGCGTATGAAAATGTTTGCTGCTCAGCCGGCGTCTCCAGAGTCCCTCGCTGACATGGGAATTCCTCTCTGAATGAGACTAATCACCATCTTGGCACCATGTTGATTAAAACAACGGCCCACTCAGTCGCAGATGGCACAAGTCATCAGATTGTGTTCAGTCACTTCCACAAAGTTTCTTGAAATCCTCCCATCAGTAGAGATTGATGCCTATAATCGCAAAGACATCATTATCTCCTCTCTTCCCATCTCCCCTCCGTTGTTAAGTGTCTCTGGAAATGTGTTCTCTTCACTCGTCGACCATGTCCAATTAAAGTTTGAGTGGAACACGGTCGAGCAGGGTGATGAGAAATTGAGTTTTATTTGTCCTTGAGGAAGTCATTTCCTGTGTACTCCTCTGGTGTCGGGCCCGATGTAAATTGGCCTGCCAGCTGAATCCCCCTGCTCGACTTAGGCTGGCTTGGAAGGTTTGCATAATAGTTTTTGTTGTTCCATGATTTTACAGGTAAAAAGGGAAACGATTAGCTAGTGCAGCACACACATTTGCAGACGCACACAGCACAAGGAGCAAGGGCCATCTTTCATGCGAAGAGCCCACTTGTGGAGTGGACAGCTGCCTCTCTTGCCTCATCTGTTCGAGAGCCTTTTGGCTCCTTCTGGCTCATCCTGCAAACACACATTCATTAAGACACTTGTGCATACAGGTTGCATTCGATTGACTTACCTTCTGTTGTTGTTGTGCTCTTTCCATGGGTTAGAGAAGGGTGCCGTCTCCAGAGAGAGTCCCTCTGTGTTGTCTAATCTGATCTGACTGTATATGCTAACAGCTGCCTGTCAAATGACCACAATCTGGCCTGCGATTTGGAAAGTCTGCTGTGAGAGAGGAGGCAGCAAATCTCACTAATTTAAGCAGACATTTATTTTCCCGTTCTGTGAAGTTTCTATTTTTGTACTCTTTTGTGACAGTTTATTATACTGCTGGATTTTTTATATTATGAAATAACACCTGGCTTCTTAATATTAACCTCGCTACACCTTAGCCTTGTTGCTAGGCAACCTTTAGCTCATACCTTATCATCACTGCCTTATTATAGACCTGTGTGGTCGAAGAGTGTGTGACTGTGCTAGTGAGTTTGATATTAAAACCTTTGACGGTGAAAGGAATGTTTGTGTGAGTGAAAATGTTAGACAATCATACTAAACAGAGACATCCCATAAGGTCCAGGATACGATACTTGCTCTGTTGCTCATAGTGAAGCACAGAGCTTTGCTTCTGTTTATCTTTCTGGGACGCTGATTTCAACTCTACTGAGACTCATTATAAAGTAAAAGGCAGACGCTTTCACCGTTCCATTAAGTGCTTTTAAATCCAAACAGAAAAACTTTGCAAACGTCCTCCCCCTCCACTGTGGAAGGGGTGTGGGTGGGTAGATTCACATCACGTACCCAAGTGCTGTTTGGTTTGGATAGAAAGGGGCATGGGGTGACATTTCCAACACAAACACATGATCATGTGTTGGGCCTGCCAGTTGGGTCCGTGTTAGCTCAGCCTGTTAGTCAGGGCACAGGAACAGAGCTGCGGTGCCAGCCTGGCTTCAGCTGTGCTCCTCTACAGGGACATGACCCCCACATGCAGATGGAGCCAGCGTTACATACACAAATAGATCACATACTCTGCCATTTCACTTAGCATACAAACAGAGATCGTTCATTTGTTCGCATTCTAATGAGCAACCCTAATATTGATTTTTGTGTCGCCTCTAACAATCGTCTTTGTCTCCTCTGACAGATGTAAAGGCCCAGCCAGGAGGGAGACTGACACCATGGACACGTTTGTTGACTCGGCTTGGTATTACTTCAGATACACAGACCCTCATAACACAGACAGGTACGAACATTCTCCTACTGAAACTTTTGCTTTCTTGTTTTTTTTAAGCCACAATAATGCAAGATCTTTCCTTTTGCATCTGTTCCCTCACACTGTGACAGATTTTAGCGCAAATTGCACACGTCTTAGTTACACCGTCTTTGTTCAAATACAAAGAAGAAAAAGCTGTTTCTCCTGGAGTGGGTGGACCGTGAGCATATCTGCCTGTTTTTAGATATTTAAAAAATATTCTTTGCAATGTCTGCCATGTCTACAGAAACGTGATTATCTCTCTTGCCTCATACACACACATTGCACTTCCACATACACACTTTGGTCTATATGCAGTAGACACAGTAGTATGCATGTTTTAAATGGGCAAGTGGAAGAGAGTGGGTGATCTTACCCTGAGCATGATTATGTGTTTGAGTACTTGTCAATAGGCGCATTCACACCGCAGTACTTTTCCCACAAAGGTTAATCAGAACTTAGTTCATGAGAACTCTTTAGTTCTCATGAATTAAATTCAGATCGCGTTCACACCGGAATAAGTCCCTGGGGGAGGATTAGGCAAATGAAGCCTCTGACGTCCCCAGAATTGGGGACTTCTGCCGAGTAAATCGCCAGAACGCCGACACCTCCTCATCTCCACCGCTCCCATGTTTTCTTTTGTGTTGCCATGAGTTAGTCTCTCTGCATTTCTGCGCTGGGCTAATGCTAATGCTAATAATGCTAATGCGAGGATAATAAAATGGCGGCTTCACAAAACTTTTTGGGAGTTTTACGGGGCGTGGTTTGCAATCCGCCCAGCCAATCAGACATAAGCCACGTTCACACCGCAGTACTTTTCCCACTTTCAGCCAATCAGACATAAGAACCTTTTTCTCCCACGAAAGTCCCTGCTCTCTATCAGGGACGGAAAAGGGGATAAAAAAGGTTCTCATAAACTAATTTTAGTTCCGGCTCTTTTTGGTGTGAACGCGACATTTCGGAACTATATCGGAACTAAAGTGGGAAAAGTACTGCGGTGTGAACGCGCCTATTGACAAGTACTCAAACACATAATCATGCTCAGGGTAAGATCACCCACTCTCTTCCACTTGCCCATTTAAAAAATTCATATACTACTGTGTACACATACACACACACACACACACACACACACACACACNAGTCTTCGCGCACCTGCCTTTCTTCTCCTAGCCTCAACGAAGAAGTGCCTATTTTCCAAGCATGCCTTTCAAAGTCAGCTCTGTCAGGCGGGTGTTCTTGTGGTCTCCAGGATCTTACTACTGAGGAGACGTACTGTCGGTCACTGTGTCATAGGCAGCCTGAGAGGTCGACAACACCGCCCAGTTCCATCCCTTCCTCATATCCGTCTTCCGATGTACTGGGTGAGGTTGAGTACTGTGGCTAGTGTCGATCCTCTGCCCAGGGCGAAACCTGCTGTTCAGGGGATGAGGTGTTCCGTCAACAAGGCACCAATTCTGTTGAGGGTCGGACGTTCCAAAGAGTTTGTAGGTGTGGCTCAAAAGTGAGATTGGTCTGAAGTTCTTGGGAGCGGATGGATCTTTCCCAGGTTTCAGCAGTGCTATAATGTGGGCTTTCTTCCAGATGTTAGGGAGCTTGTGTGTTGTTAAGCACTCATTGTAGAGCTGTAGGAGCCACGTCTTTGCCTTGTGACCGAAGTGCTTGATCTGTTCCGTTGCGATATTATCCAGTCCAATTGCCTTTCCTGGTTTGAGGATAGAGATTCCCCCTTCCAGCTCTTCCATAGTGAGCTGTCTTGTAAAAGCAGGGTCCTCGATGTATTTCTTGCGGTTCAGCTTGGTCTTTTTCCCTCTCTTTCTACTCTTTCCATTTTCAAGCAATTGGTTGGCAACTTGGTTGGCCGTGACTTTTGGGTGCTGAGGAGCTGCTTTAGGGTCACCTCGTAGCTTGTGAATAAGTGCCCATGCTTTCTTGCTGTTTTTTGACATGTCTGTGGACTCTATAAGAGCATTCCAGGTCTTGCTTCGCTCTTGGGCAATGCTTTCCATCACCTTCTCGCCTTGGGTAGTTGTTTCTACACTGTAGCCTATGTGCATACAGTATGACATTAAAACCTTTCAATCTACACTTCCACCTTAAGTTTCTATTTTGAATAAAATGAATTCAGAATGATACCAGATCGCTTTAGTTTTGTTAGATTTTGCTTTATCTTTATACCATCAGTGTTCGTACAAAATCTTAAAATTCTTTCTTTGTTTCCCATATTAGGAATTTGCTTAAAATTGAATACACTCCTTAAGAATTGCTAGATCAGTTGTTTTCAGATGACATCTTGCAGAATTTTTGAAAAGGTCTTTCTCCCACAATATTTACTACTTGACTGTGCTGTCGTTAAATTCTTTTTTCTTCTGTTTCTGTGTCTTCCAAACATTAGCGGACGCACTCCCCGGGGTTCTGCGCTGGCAGTCTCGGCTCTGGCAGCTGGTGACCAAACTGAGGGGGGCTCGACAACTCGCGCAGATCCCCAGCTCCCGCTCCCATGCTGAAGAAGAAAGAGCTGGCAGAGCAAAAAGATCTGGTCGAACAAGATTACCGCTATTTGAAAGGTGTGTATTAAGTGCGCTCAAAATTTCTGCATTGTGACATCATTTAATAGTTAGACATTTCAGCACAGCAGTACCAGTAGGGGTCAGTAGTGGTCAACATTTAAAATCTCATTCACAGCCGGGTTGGTGTATATCTTTTCCTCAGCTAAATATGGGGTGAATCACGTATCCATTTGCAAACCTTGTTTTGAATTAATTCCCTCCGCTAAGTGCCAATTATCTCTAGTTATATTACGTTGTTTTTATGTGCAAAAGATTTATATATAATTCATTTTCCTAGGCTGTTTCTCAGCTCGCGAAAGTAGAACTGCGTCGGAACTCGTAACTGCGTTGAAAGGCATGGTAAGATGTGTGTCTCTTTCCTTCTTGCCAGCGGTCTCTTGCCGTCCGATGTATATTACTTGAAAGGATGTCCTGAAGGCCTAATCCACTGTCGTCATAATACTTTCCTGCCTCAACAGGCCACACGTCCTGCGAGAGTGTCCTTTCCTGTTCCATGCGTCTATAAGCACCAGCTCAAACCTGAGTAAACTTATCTCTGGAATAATGGCACATAAAAGACGAATAGACTAGGAGCGCGAAGAGTAATTGCGAATATACCATGCGCGCGGCCATATGCATCCTATCTCTACACACTCTAATAAAGCAAAAAAGTCCTCTCCTTATCTGTGCTCGATCATATAGATGCTGCGCGCAGCTCTCTACTGACCTAACCTGCTACACGCCACTAACATAATTCATGGCAGCGAGATGAGAAATTTTGAGCCACTTTATACCACACCTCCTTCAATAGCGTAATTCCTTGTTCGACCAGAATCTTCGTCGTCTTTGTTCACAGCACACGCGATCTCTCACAGGGAAGGGCTAGGCGTGCGTTCGAGTATTCGCGGCCCTCTAGGAGTCATCGCGAGGCTGCGCGCTCTATGCTGTGCCACACGTCAGCAAGAGAAGCGCGCTACGGTCTGCATCGCGAGCCGTCATAGAAGTATTGTGGGAGAGAGTCACGCGGCATCCCTGAAATAAAGCGATGCGAGTCCTCTTAACAGGAAGTAGAGTGCGATATCATAAATTCTCTTATGCACCAGCGTATATAGATCGAAACATCATTGAAAAACAACAGAGGCCGTCATTCTGAAAGTTCACTATCAAATAAACAAACTGAAGGTGCGTGCGACGCGCGGGCCTGGAGAGCGCATGCGCCCAAAGCGCTCCCAGCCGTGGCGTATCCCCTATAATACAGACACTTCCGAGATCACGAAGAATCATGGCAGACATTATGCTGCATCAAGTCACAGTAGGAAGCCACCGCTAACACCAGTCGAGTCAAGTTCCACAAAAACAATAGAAAAGATATATGAAAAAAGACCACTGAACGCACACTGAGGACCTGCTTTATACACACATCTCATAAGAATGCAAACAAGCTGGAAAGGGGACTCTATCCTCAAAACCAGGAAAGCCAATACATACCACGACAATACACATATCACACAAAGGCAAAAGAACGTGGCTCTTACAGCTTTCTACAATGAAGTGCTCTAAACAAACACACAAATCCCTAACATCTGGAAAACAAAAGCCCACATTATACACTAGCGAACCTGGAGAACACATACACCACATCACAATTCAAGACCAATCTAACCACTTTACCACTCGTCTCTGTCGGAAACTTCGATCCTCAACAGAAATTGGTCCTTTGTTGAACGAACACCTCATCCCTGAACAACAGGTTTCCGCCTGGAAGTCGACACTAGCAAGTACTCAACCTCACCAGTACAGTCGAAAGAACGGAATGAAAAGGAAGGGATGGTAAACTGTGCGGTGTTTGTCCGACCCTCCTCAGCTGCCTATGACAACAGTGAACCACAGACGGACGCGCAGTCTCCTCAGTAAGATCCACTGAGATCAACAAGAGAGCATGCCCCATGACCAGAGTGATGTTGAAAGCGATGCTTGAAAAATAGGCACTCTTCCTGTTGAGCTAGGAGGAAAGAAAGCAGTGGCGAAGACTCGGAAATGCCTCACAAGGAAGTGTGCTTGCACCGCGCTTCCTTTAACATCACACAACGACCAACCAAAGAAATGGTTGGTAGACAGTGGTGCGCCTGCCGCTTCAAGTCTTATTTTTTTTGCAGACGATCTGCCTTGGCATAGTGTGCACAACCACTGATTTCAAAACTGTGGAAAGCACAGACCTCTAACGCCTGGCAAGCTTAACACCCTTAATTATGAAGGAGAACCACCTACGTGCAAACCGATCTAAGACACAGGTGGTGTGGCCCTTCACCTGAGAAAACCGTTGAAGCCAAGCGCAAACGAAGGGTCAGCTTGGTCGCAGGAACCCCCCTGAAACACTCGCTGCCCCACCCAGTTACCTAGGGGCTAACACGGACACGATGCCTCTCTTTGTTAAGACCCACACTGACAACGACAAGTGCAAAGTGACGTGCAGGAATACATCATCCGCAAGCCCGGGTGCAGACGACTTGGTTGCAAAACCCAACAGAATCCTGAGTCAACCGCACTAGAGCCTCTGCTACAAGCTGGATGAGAAGCTGGATCCCGCCCTCAATGCTAGCTGCCGCATTATCACAGGCTGCCTGAAATCAACACCTACAGACCGTCTGTACATCCTGGCAGGCATAGCCCCACCAGAGATACGACGAAATGCAGCAAGCAAGAAAGAGCGCCAACAACAGTCTACTGACCAAAGACATCCTCTCTTTGGCCATGTGCCAGCCAAAAGCCGCCCTAAATCCAGGAAAAGTTTCCTGAAGAGCGTCCCACCCCTCGGAACACTGAGCACAAGCAGTGAAAGAGTCACTCGGTGGGAAGAAAGACTTGACAACCTCCCATCAGCAACAACAATGGAGTTTAGGGCGAGCGAGGCACTGCCCCCTGGAGCAGACACCAACTACGCAGTGTGGAAATGCCTAAACAGAATAAGATCTGGTGTTGGACGTGCAAAAGCCACTCTCGCCAAATGGGGATACCTAAATGACGGGGACGTTGTGTGTGACTGCGGCATTGAACCACAAACCATGCAACACCTCCTGATATGCCCCCTGCTGGAGCAACCCTGCACAACATCGGACTTGGCAGAGTTTAATGAGAAGGGACAGCAATGTGTTCAGCTGTGGCTGAACCACATCTAACCAAGCCCTGTAACTGACTGCCTTGTGGACACGATAAGAAAGAAAGACAGTGTAGAAATGGCATGAACATCTTATGACCCGAGCTCATCCAACGATGCAATATATATAATAAAATACAAAAATACAAATAAGAATAGTGCAAGAAGTCTATATACACGTAAATAGAATATGATATATACAACAACAGAATGTAAAATTAAATATTGCGCAGTAAGATGAAATTAAATACGGTTTATTTCGGCGATAAATATTTAGATAAATAAATGAATTGCAAGATGACAAACAGATGAATGTTTATGGAGGCACTTAACAGAGCTCAGGTGTTAGCAGTCTTATTGCCTGTGGGATAAAACTAATTGTAATTTTGCGACTCACTCTTGACATTCCAGAGGATGTCTTGTTCGGGTGGAGCGGCGTAGAGGATGTAGAGTCGAACCGTGTCCACGCCGTACTGCTGCACCACGTCCTGGGGGTCCAGACCGTTGTTTTTAGACTTGCTCATCTTCTCCCACGTCACATCTATATCACCACCACCACGCATCACCGGCTCCGCATCTAGAAGAGGAGTCGGTTTAGGTGTCAGTTGTGTTTTTTATTTCACTTAGGAAATATCTCTTGAATAAGATATTTGATGACGTTTAATGGTCTTCAAGGAGTTGTTAATGCTTCTATCACTTCTCGTGTGGATTATTATAATGATGTGTTTACATGCCTAGGCCAAACATGATTACAAGGATTCAGGGTTTCTAAAAGGCAGCCGCTAGACTTAAACCAAATCTTGTAGGCATCATCATATCTCCCTTGGCTTCCACTCACTGGCTTTATTTTAAGGGCCTGCGTAGTATAGCAGCTTGAACAATGACGCCTTCTGATAGGTTCCCTCTTTTTTATTATCACTCGAGATTCACAGTTTGGCTTTATTCATTTTATCTTTAATTCAAAGTATTTCTTTTTTTTACTTTTGCATTTTCTCTCAAGCTTTCTTTTTTTACTCCTAGTACTTAAAGCCTTTTGTCAAGGTCGTTCATTGTTTCCTGCTGGCTCTTGTTTGATGCCTTTTTAGTAAAACACAGTAAAGAAAAGGACAAGTCAATCTGAGCACATAACACTGGGAAGCAATAGAGAGCATAAAGCAAATTGTAAGAGACGCCTTAGGTCTCTTCAAAAGGATTTCTCGTGATAGACTACTTGTCAGGAGTAGCTAGTAAGGAAAAGCTATGAAGCATAAAAAAGAGAGGTTGCTATCGGCAGCTTAAAATGGATGTTACTTTGATAAAAGAAGAAAAGGTTGTCATGACTCATTTTGATCTGGCAGAGCAACGTGGAGGGAAACCCTGTCCTCCGTTAGAGATGTGTCACACTGACAAACATCCTTCAGTTTCACACAGTGTGTACCTGTGAAGTCTATCTCTTCTCTCTTTAGGTACCGGCGGCTCTCCGCCTCTTTGAAAGTCTGGCCCTTGATCAGACCCTGGACCAGCAGTTTCCGAAAAGGCTCCCTAAAGGAAATGGAAACGGGTTAATTACCTCACAAATGTACGTGCACAGGAAGAGCGGATAAAACACTTTGTTCTGTACCTGTGGGCGACAAGACCCTGATCCTTGCAGAAGTGACAGAGGAAGCGAGCGTAGTACAAGTGCATGACAGCATGCTCCTTCCCTCCGATGTAAACGTCCACAGGAAGCCAGTGATCCGCGAGCTGCCGCTCAAAAGGCCTGGAGAGGAAGAGCAAGTTTGAGGGAGCTGTCACTGAAAGTATTTATTCTGAAAAAAGCTTCAAAATGAGATCTTGCTGTTGGACATCTTTGTGTCTACCTTAAATTCTCTGTCTTAGTTTATGTAGAGGTTGTTTTCTTTTTTCTAATTGATCCACACTGGCTTTCACTGCATGCCCACTACTCCAACTAAATATGAATCATAGTAATCTGAAAAAGAGCTTTAATCACATACATATATGCTGGCTGTATAACATTAAATCATAAGCATTTTAGTGTTTTATAATTGATTTAATATGTTATTTAGATTTTCCAGTTCTACAATTATCATGGTGTTGAAACAGGCTGAGGATCTGAGGAAATCTTACTGAAATCTAGGCTTTTGATTAGGAATGGTTCATAATTTTATTCACTTTGCATTCAAGGTTTATAATTTGAACCTGTTTTAATAATCTTTAATATCATGGTACTTCTATAACTGTTATTATAGATGTGTTGTGTATTTTATTTAATCTTATCATTTTATTGTTTTGAGTGATTTGGTCTCAATTTGTTTATTTTCTTAACAGTTTTTGTCCCTTCTGTTCACTGTTTTTAGATCTGTTATTTCCAGCATGCCATTCATCTTAGAAGCCGTTTGAAAGGCACAAAACCGTAAGAAAGATGATTTGTTAATATAACTGACAAAAAATGTGTCTATTGTGGTGCATTTTATTGTATTTATTTTTCTGGACTTTTATTTGTCTATGGAGTTGAAAATCTTTGATATAGATTTCACAATGTAAAGCTCTTTGTATATCTTGTAACTCTGCTACTACAGTGCAATTATAGAAATAAAGTTTAATGTTAGATGAATAAGCAAAAAATAATTTCCCAGCATTGTTCTTAAAAAACATTTGTGTGCTTTATACACACACACACACACACACACACTTCCTCTAGGGGGCAGGCTGAAACTGATCCAGGGATGAAGCGAGCAGAGGCCTCCTGGAGCTTTCTTTATCTCATTAACACACACACACACACACACACACACACACACACACACACACACACACACACACACACACACACACACACACACACACACACACACACACACACACGTAATATCTATTTCAATTTGGCTGTGAGGGTTTCCTCTAAACTCAGCATTTCATGTAAAAATAGTTTAGCATTTGTAAATTTGAACTGAGACTGCTGGGTTTCTTTCAGATTTGGAGCAGCATGTGGTTAGTCTGACGGCATGACAATCAGCGGAGGCAGGGATTCCACCTAATGATACTTTTTAGAGCAGTCTGCTATCTCTGGGTGTCACCTTTCACACCACTCATTACTCTCCTCCACTCTTCCCTGCCTTCACACTCCCTCTCCGGCTGATGGTGTCTCCGGATAATTGAACCAGGGGAAAAAAGTTATGAACTCACATCGCTGAAAATAATTTAACCGGATTGTTGGCATCAGCCCAGGGAACTCTTATACATACCACACACACACTTCCATATAGCACCCTCTCCCTATTTCCTTCCTCTTACTTACTACTTTCAACATCTCCTGCTTCCTATATTATCGTTTCCCCTTGTGCACATAAGGCTCAGCAGGCTAACTGAAATTCACAAATAGTGTAATTGCTTTTTCTGTTGTGCCATAATCTGTCCCGCTAAGAAAAGTGATGGGGAGAGCAGTCCCCGTCCTTTTAAAGCAGCTTTACAGCTAGGTCAGGGCACTGGGAAATTAATCTCTTTTGTTGAGCTCAGGGTATCGCTGCCATCCCAGCAGGTGACATCCATAGCTCCATAATCTCTATTGGCAGGGAATACAAGTTCCAGGCAAGTGTGTGAGTGTGAGTGTGTGTGTGTGTGTGTGTGTGTGTGTGTGTGTGTGTGTGTGTGTGTGTGGTGAGAGAAAGGTAACGGGAATTTTTTAAGTCTATAATGAATGACACATGTNCATCTGGAAGAAAGCCCACATTATAGCACTGCTGAAACCTGGGAAAGATCCATCCGCTCCCAAGAACTTCAGACCAATCTCACTTTTGAGCCACACCTACAAACGTAGGTGTGGCTCAAAAGTGAGATTGGTCTGAAGTTCTTGGGAGCGGATGGATCTTTCCCAGGTTTCAGCAGTGCTATAATGTGGGCTTTCTTCCAGATGTTAGGGAGCTTGTGTGTTGTTAAGCACTCATTGTAGAGCTGTAGGAGCCACGTCTTTGCCTTGTGACCGAAGTGCTTGATCTGTTCCGTTGCGATATTATCCAGTCCAATTGCCTTTCCTGGTTTGAGGATAGAGATTCCCCCTTCCAGCTCTTCCATAGTGAGCTGTCTTGTAAAAGCAGGGTCCTCGATGTATTTCTTGCGGTTCAGCTTGGTCTTTTTCCCTCTCTTTCTACTCTTTCCATTTTCAAGCAATTGGTTGGCAACTTGGTTGGCCGTGACTTTTGGGTGCTGAGGAGCTGCTTTAGGGTCACCTCGTAGCTTGTGAATAAGTGCCCATGCTTTCTTGCTGTTTTTTGACATGTCTGTGGACTCTATAAGAGCATTCCAGGTCTTGCTTCGCTCTTGGGCAATGCTTTCCATCACCTTCTCGCCTTGGGTAGTTGTTTCTACACTGTAGCCTATGTGCATACAGTATGACATTAAAACCTTTCAATCTACACTTCCACCTTAAGTTTCTATTTTGAATAAAATGAATTCAGAATGATACCAGATCGCTTTAGTTTTGTTAGATTTTGCTTTATCTTTATACCATCAGTGTTCGTACAAAATCTTAAAATTCTTTCTTTGTTTCCCATATTAGGAATTTGCTTAAAATTGAATACACTCCTTAAGAATTGCTAGATCAGTTGTTTTCAGATGACATCTTGCAGAATTTTTGAAAAGGTCTTTCTCCCACAATATTTACTACTTGACTGTGCTGTCGTTAAATTCTTTTTTCTTCTGTTTCTGTGTCTTCCAAACATTAGCGGACGCACTCCCCGGGGTTCTGCGCTGGCAGTCTCGGCTCTGGCAGCTGGTGACCAAACTGAGGGGGGCTCGACAACTCGCAGATCCCCCCAGTCCCTCCCTGCTGAAGAAGAAAGAGCTGGCAGAGACAAAGAAGATCTGGTCGAACAAGAATTACGCTATTGAAGAGGTGTGGTATAAGTGGCTCAAAATGTCTCATTGTGACATCATTTAATAGTTAGACATTTCCACAGTCAGTACCAGTAGGGGTCAGTAGTGGGTCAACATTTAAAATCTCATTTCACAGCAGGTTGGTGTATATCTTTTTCAGTAAAATGGGTGAATCACTCCATTGCAAACCTTGGTTTTGAATTAATTCCTCCGCTAGTGCCAATTATCTCTAGTTATTGTTTTTAATGTGCAAAATTAAATAATTCATTTTCCTTAGGCTTTTTCCAGCGAAATAGACTGTACTGTTGAAAAGGCATGGTAAGATGTCCTTTTTCAGTTGCTCCTGCTTGATGGTATGGTCTGAGGTAATATCTTTCATATATTTCGGTCCAACAGCACACAGTCCTGAGTTCCAGCCTTTCCATCCAATGCTAAACACCACAACCTGAAACCCCTGGAGTAAAGAGTAGAAGAGGGAGGGGATGGAAATTGATTTTAAATCCACTCTGTCTCCTTTCACACTTTATAAATAGCCTCCTTTGGCTGCCACGTTTGATTCTGTCTCCACGCCTCAGGGTCTGTGCTTTTAAAGGACCTCAGGCTGTTTGCCATAAGCCCCCAAATCCGAGGCTGTCCTTTGATCTGTCCCTCAGAAAAGCCTCGGTGATCGACCTCCTTCTCCCTGAGGCCGTTACTAAATGGGTTCTTCTTCCCAGAAGGCTAAGCAAGGCGGTGTTGACATAACAGGGGGCGGCTTCTGTTTCGAGCCTGTCCCTGTTTTTTAAATAATCCTTCGGATGCAGTTTGAAAAATATTGAAAGATGCTGTCAATCAATGGAGGCGTGAACATGTCGAGTAACCACAACAAAATATAACGTCTTAAACTTTATAGATGCAACTAACACAACTGTCACCTGTTTTATTTTGTTGTCGTTTTTATTTACAGGTGACATCTCACTTCACAGAGGAGTTCCTCTTCAACGCTGCCATCTCTCGGCTAATGGGACTTACCAATACACTGAGTGTGAGTGTGCCCTCCGGTACCTTGAAATAATGATGTCACATTTATTGTTTGTCACAAAACACTCTGGAAATCCCATTTCTACCACTGTGTGTTCAGAGTGCGACAGTCAGGGTGGTGCAGCACAGCGTGGAGTTTGAGGAAGCTCTGGCGGCGCTGGTTATGATGACAGCACCCATGGCTCCTCACCTGGCTTCTGAACTTTGGGCAGGTTAGTGACATACAAACTATTCACGCGTAATAAATAATACACTCAAAGAGCATGTACTAAATTCTTCCTTAATCATATGTCTCGGCATGGATAATTATCAAAATGTCATTCCTAAATACATGAGATACATTTTAATTGCATCATAAAAAGGAAACATTTGTTTTTTGTGAACATTCTTGAGTGAAAAAACTAAAATAATAAATAAAGGACAAATGAAAAACGGCAACATTGTGTCACTCTGTAATAAGGGCAGATAAAATAAGGAACAGATAACAGATTTAAAACGTAAATCATCCCACCCCAAACCAGGAGATGCTGCATCTTGCACTAAATGTACATTGTTGATTTATTTAGTTTTATTTTAGACTTTGAATATCAATGGGGTTATATTGGTTATTTTTTACAGTGACACATTTACAAATGCGTTTTTGGTGAACACTTTTTTTTCTCTAATATCTGTAAGAGGAACTTATCTAATATGAGTAAGCACTAACTGTCACCGGCAGCTGTTGTGTCGCTGTCATATTTTCATCTGTGTCCCATACAACAGTTATACAGTTCACCTTAAATATGCTCACAGTACATCAAACAAAACTGAGTACTCCTGGCCAAGGGCAGAAAGCACACAAGCGAAGGTCTAGCGTCACTTATGTTCCTTATGTATAAGCTTTCCCCCACACTTCCCTGGAGGACATCCCCTTATTGTCGATGACACACGTACACCAGCTCTCTCTCTGCACACAGCTGACAGACGCGAAAGAGGTTCCGGAAAGCATATTGTCCAGCTGATAGTGGCAGTCAGGAAAACTTGACGGATAACCCTTGGGAGGAAGAGGCCTGTATGTTTTTAACGACGGGCTGTGTGCATTTTGTTTGTGCACACGTGTAGCTTTATAAACGGGATATGCAAGAACATGTGACCTCTGCTGAACTCAGTCACGTTGCCTTTTTCACTTTTGCCTTGTTGTTTTGAATTCACTCACACAGTTCACAATAAGGGAAGTTCATATCCTTCCCTTGTTCCTCCTGGCAGGGGATGTACACTTGCTGATTTGAATGAGAGTCAGGACAGGGAGTGGTGCGCTGTTGTTTAACCCTTCATCAAGATACATTTTCCAAAACAAATTTAGTAAAAGAAAATATAAAAGTCATCCCCAGCAAGTTATCTGACTCTCTTAAAAAAAACAACACACAACTTATTTGCTTTATGTACTTTTTCCATGTATTGTCACCCCCAGGCTGAGTTGGTATAATTTTGTTAAGTTGTTCTTCTGTGTTTCCTCACAGGTCTTTGTCAAGTGGAGAACCCCCTCAGCCCCATCCTGCAGCGTGGAGGAGACGTCCTGCAACAGGTCTGGCCAACTGTAGACCCCGAGTACCTGGAGGTCCCTGACTTTGTGGAGCTGTCTGTACTGGTAAAGTCACACTCACACAAACACACATTATTCATTATCTCACATTATCTCTTTGATTGTGTGAATTTCACAATAGTTGTGCTGAACAAATTATTGTTATTGCTCCACTTGTGTTCATTTTTATTTTTAACATAAAGGGGTTTCACTCAGAGAGAGCAATCTGCTCATTATTTATACATTACTTATTAAATGCTATTTGCACAAATTTGCTCTTGCACCCACTGGCATTTTCACCCGAACTCTCTGCTCTTAAACCCAAAGTCTTATATTCATGATTACATTCATAGTCTGTAATTTTCAAGAGAGCCTGTGATTACCCTGTGTGAGTTTGTGTGTATTCAACTGTGTCCGCACATATGTGTTTATTCGTCCGCATATCAAGTGGTGTGCTTTAAGCTAAATAGACAAGTGGGTCAATAATTAAAAGCCAGTAAAGGAGCCATCGTGTTATTCCTGAGTCACTGTTACTCTCTCACCCTCATTTCTGCCTTCTTCCTGCCCCTGAGCACAATCACACAAATAGCAATCGGTTTGGCAGCGTTTGTGTGTGTGTCCAGTGAGTTTGTCGAGTGTGTGTGTGAGCTTTACATGCGAATTGGCCGAAGAGAGGGGGTGAAAGTGCTCGAATGGCAGCGTAAGATTAAGTGAAGGTTTAGGTGTGTGTACACTTTAAAGGTGGAAAGGCAATCGGAGAGAATATCCAGCTGTAATGTGAAGGTTTAAAAAACTATCTTGGATCAGATCAAAGGTTCACACATGCTCACACTGGCACATGAATGAACACACACACACACACACACACACACACACACACACACACACACACACACACACACACACACACACACACACACATGCGATGATAGCAAACACAGTCAGCTGACTAAAAGCTCCTGTCTTTCAGGGGTTGGATTCTTCCTCTGTTTTCTAATTGAGAGACAGAAAAATGAGAGAAGGTGTGCAGCGTGTATGCTTGCATGTGTGTGACTGTAAGGCTGTGTTCTCTCCATAATCATATTTGCCATGCCGGGGAGTTAAGATAATGCTCTTTTTCACATCTTTGGTATTGCATTCTTGTTGTTTACTCATTCGTCTCTCATTCACAAGTCACAAGTTGTACACACACTGTCTCCCCTTATACACACGCATCCAGTGCTTGATGATGTTGATGAAGATGATGTTGGTTTTTACCTCAGACTGAACTCTCTGTTGTGGGCTTCCTCTGGAGACAACCTCACTCCCCATGTCCTCTAATAATAGATTTATTTTGTTAGCTCTTTTACAGGTGCTCAAAGACGCTTTACAGATATAGTGAAAAGAAAAGAACAACAAATAAATATAAATAGTTAAAGTTAAAGTAAAAATAAAACAAAAACAATCACACATTAAAAGCCAGATTGAAGGGGTGAGTTTTTGTGAGTTTTTTGAAGGTGGTGAGGTCAGTGCCGTCTCTGATGGGTTGGGGGAGTGAGTTCCAGAGGGAGGGGGCAGCAACGCAGAAGGCTCTGTCCCCCCCAGGTCCGGTGATTGGTGCAGGTGGGGATGGATAGGAGGTTGGCTTCTGATTAGCAAAGGCAGCGGGAAGGGGAGTGGTGGTGCAGCAGGTCTGTGAGGTAGGGGCGGTGCCTGATTGTTGAGGGCTTTGTAAGTAATCAGGAGGACTTTGAAGTCGATTCTTTTGACGGACGGGGAGCCAGTGGAGGTTCTGGAGGATGGGAGTGATGTGGTCTCGGGAGCGGGTGTGGGTGAGGAGGCGGGCAGCAGAGTACTTGGAGTACTTAATCATGTACTTGGGTTTGTCTAAGAAAGGAGGCCAAGGCTGAAAGGCCTCACACACACACACACACACACACACACACACACACACACACACACACACACACACACACACACACACACCCACACACCCACACACCCACGCCCACGCCATTACTTTTCAACCACACCAAATACATGAACACATTCAAATTGTGCACACATGCATCTAAACATTACAAGACGGCGTGCCCTTCCCATACCTACCACTAACTATGTGTTTTAAGGGTTCACTGTGTGGAAGGAGAGGTGGAGTCTGTTATTTTGGGACCCTTTATGCCAGGAAGGAAGAGTTTATGTAGAGTCAGACTGCTTTCAGACGGAGATTAAAGTGGAACATTTGACTCATTCTTCATTTTCATCCTCAGATTAACAACAAGGCCTGTGGGACAGTGACCGTGCCTCTGCAGGTGTCCAAAGATTCGAAGCGAGTGCAGCAGCTTATCTTGGAGAGCCCGTTGGTGCAGAAGCATCTTGGCGGGCGCAGCATCAAGAGAGCCATCCTCTCCCCCAGGACCGCCCTCGTCAACCTCCTCATTGACGAGTGATGTTCTGATGTTCACTGCCACAAAAGGCGCAAACGAGGTGGACCTTTTTAAAAATTAAGACAAAAGTGAAAGTCAGTTTAAATTACTTTGATGTAAATATGTCTAAAGATTTTTGTATTTATTCTTTCCAGTTTTTATTAAAGAAATACAAAAAGCAGTTTGGTTTCTAGTCTCTTTAAGAAATCCCAAGCAAACTGTGGCACCTGTCTCTTCAGATAATTCTCCAGTTTAGTCAGACACTCTGACAATCACACATGAGCACAAACACAACTTTAGATTCTATCCTTCAGATCTTCCCTTTAACCTGTAACTCCAATTTCTGCTTCGCTGGAGGGATCTAAACTTCACATCTACCCGTCTGCTTTGTGTTTGTTTGCTTCACGTCTCGGCTGGGTCAAGCAGTCAAGATCTTCCTCATCAGTGTTTATCTCTTCCTCTGCTGCTGCTTCTAACCTCAGATCTTTTCTGAGCATTTTACACTGATACATTTTTGGTCTCTGGCAGTGCTCTATGAACCCTGTCACTATCAAAAGGTTTATTAATGGTCACTAAAGAGCCTCAAGAGGTTGGGGGTTTTTCAGCTTCCCACCCTATCATGGTTTTCTATTGCTGCACTGTGCCTACTCATCAGCTCGATGTCTCTGTCTCAGCATTTGACCAACATGACTCAGCCCTGTCTTGGCAGAGCAGCTGCTGCTCTGAAATGTATCCATGTGTACACCCACGGGCCTATCTTTGAAGGCTTGGTGATGGTGAGTAAGCATTTATTTGATATGTACAAGCACTTCCAGTGGCCACATCGCCTGTAAACCAAGATTTTCAAAAGCGGTAGAACAAAAGTCTCATATTTTGTCTGGTATCAGCTTACGAATGAACAAAAATAATATGATCTCTTTGAAAAGGGAGATACACACATTGTTTTCGCAAGGTCAGCTTCCGCTTGAGGGAGTGCTTTTATTTTTATGGTATAAAATAGGCGGCATGTGACTGATAAAATCATGCTGTATCTCCTGTTTTAAGGCAATATATTTGAATTCAAACATGATGAATAAACAAGGTGCGGACAGAGGGATAAACAGAACATTCCCCACACAGCCCCCTCACCTTTTTACCATATTTCTGTGCTTTATCTCTGACCATCAGGTGACAGGAAGAGACTCACAGGAGCCAAAGAATAACAGGAAGAGAAACCAGGAATAAGAGGAGGGGAGCAAAGAGCCAACGCTGTGTTGGGTATTCTCTGTATTTTCTCAGATTCTGTGAATTTGATCTCGTACACGTTGCCACAGCACAAACAGCAAAGAGGTGTCTTATCTTTTTTTTTTAAGGTCAAAACGTTCAAGAAGAATCGTTCATAAAGGGCAGGTATAGACCTACTTTTCAGAAACCCAACACTCAATGATCAAGCAGTGTGACGGTGTGTGAGCCAAAAAAAGGGGTATCATGTCTGGTCTTCAGTCAGCTTTTTATGTGGGCAAAAGTTTCTCGCACACATTTAACTGACTATGAAATAATTAGATTCATGAAAATGTAGTTTTTAAACCCTTGAGCTCTTCCTCTTCTTGTGTTGTTATATTTCACACCTTCCTTTTCTACAATTATTTTAGGAACAGCGGCAGATAAACAGGTCTGAACCTGAACTGGTTTGACCAACAAGCTGAATTTGCTGTGTCAGAGCGACATTGGAGTGATACAATTCAATAATCCCAGGAAACACTTCCCAGATTCTAAATAAATAGATAAGTAGGATATTACAGTACAATTTATTTTTGGTAAAATTAGCTCTAAGCTGATGAATTTTCTGTAATAATGAATTTTGTCACTTCAATAACAGCCAGCGAGGTTGTTTAACACTTTTCGTCAGCTCTGCAGTTTCCATGACGACAAGTATTATTGAACAGAAACAGAATGTGTCAGTGAGTCACTTTCTCCTCAGACAACAGTTTTTCTTACACATTTATTGTACAGCATGAATTGTCTCTGATGAGTTTAAGAATACCACTTCCCTTTCTCTTGAGAAACTGCTGGTGGGTGAAAGAGGGTGGAGTGCACACAGCGGTGCAGTCACCCTCCATTGCACCAGCTGAGTCCCTTACCAGGCTGTGTATTATCACAGGGGGACAAAAAGCCTGACCTCAAGATGGGTAATTGGGTCATTCGAGATTTTTTGTGTGAGCTCATTGAATAAGCAGATTTGCACTGGTCCTTTTATTGTTAAGGGGATAAAGCTGAACGTGGCACATATGTGAAGGCACCACACTTTCCAGAGTTACTCATAGTGTACTTTGCCATAGTAACAGAGTTTAGTTATTTTGTCTTTTTCCTATATGTGAATTAGGCCGTATCCCACGCTCTGCAGTCTGCACATGTGACGTGGCCTTTTTTTTCCCGAGGGATCTACAGTTTGCATTACTTTATGATTGCATACACTCTGCTGCTTTCTGTAGATTCAGTTGTAAGACATAAGTGGTGGCAATTAATATTTCTCATGTATGTGTTAATCAGATAATCAGTCCCTAAGAATCTAATCTACGGTAACACTTTATAGTAAGGTACACAAATTCACCATCAATTCGTTTTTAATTAACATTCATATTAGCAGTATATTGACTCTTTATTAGTCATTATAAAACACTTATTAATGCCTTATTCTACATTACCATATTCTACAAGTAATAAGGCATTAGTTGAGAGTTTTTCCTCAATAACCCTCTAATTAGTGCTTATTTATTGCAAGTAAGGAAGTTGTTGTACATGAGTTTTGGTCTTAATATGCGCTGCTCAATATGGGCCTAATAAGGCAATAGTACCACAAGAATAGCAATTCTCCCATAATAACACTTAACAAATATGATCTATTCTTATGTAACAAGACATGAAACTATAGGCCTAAGTGTTAATTGCGTCTAAATAACAAAAAAGTAGGTATTTATATCTAAGAATATGTTTTGGGGTATTGACAGTTCAGCTACCAATAGCAGGGTGATATTGACCTGTGTGTTTAATATTTGCACATTTATATTTTTGTAACATTTGTACTGAAGGTTAGACAGGAAACCGGGTACAGGAAGTAGGAGAAAGTGAACTGAATAGCATGGCTGTAGACTACTACTAATTTCCCCATGCAACCTGAATAATAAAAGGGTCAAGTCCGTCAGAAAGCAATGACCGTAAGTGTAAGTGTAAGCCTTACAATTTTCCATTTAATTATCGAGTACTATCGACACGTATCGTACATATGTTCGATCTTACCGGTGTTGATTCGTCATATACGATTAGCATTAGCGGGCTACGATTGTGTAAAAGGAGGTACTCAAAAATTGTAGAGTTTACAGTAGTTTATTTTTATGAAATGATTAGATAT